TTTTTTTTTTAATTAAATATATTATAAATAGATGGATCAACTTGAGATTCCAGATCATTTTGCTGTTATTATTACTGCTGTCCTACGTGGAAGGAAATTGGAATACGGAGGCTATTTGATGGATCTGTTATAACTTTACTTGTCAATCATATTATTTTAATTGTAATTTTCTTTCCGTTATGAATATATATATTGTATTAAAAGAGTAAGGAAAATGAATAATGTGTAAAATAATACGTTATTCTAAATATTTTAGAACGATATGTTATGTATTAAATTCACAAGATATTCTTTTCTTTACTTTTATTTTTATTAAATAAATATATAGATATTGTTAATGATATAATTGCGAAAATATTATAATTTTATATTGTATAATTTGGGTATTAGAATTAGGCGTTACACCAATTTGAGTGGATCCGTGCCTATAAAAGTATAAACCTTCCCTTGTGTAATCACTTTTGCATATATGAGAATTTCTGACTTTGCTTCAACTATATTCTCTTCCAAGAGTCACCGAGTGCTTAGCCTTAGTTTTAGGAAAATCCATCTTTCCTAAACTTGAGTGTGAGCATTCCTTTGGTTCTTGTGCTTGGATGCTTCCATTCATAGCTTTAGGAACTAATTTTCCTTAATTCAAGTTCATCTTCATCCCTTCTTCATTCGGATTCAACTCAAGAAGGAGATCCTTGTTGTTCGGTGGAGGCTAAAGAAGAAAGATCATCCACTTCTCCAACCTACACCATCATTTTTGGTATCAAAGCATGGCTACTTCTTTGATTTTAGTAAATCCATTTCAACGATTGGAATTCTGTCTTTGTGTGTTTCAAATTTTCATTTGAGTTTCCTTGATTGGACTAAGTTTTTGAAAATTATTTTTGATGGATCCAAATGGTGTGGTTGCACTTTGATTTAATCTGCAACCTCACTAGTGTCTAGGAATCTACTTGTGCCAATTTTTGAATTGTTTGAGTCATTGATAATCTTGATTGTTTGTTTCGGTCATTTTGGAGTCATATGCATGTGATGTCTTTTAATTTCTGAATCTTAAGTTTTGTCAAGTCATGTGAAGTTCTTCAAAATGTCAAAACAATTCAAGATGTGCTAATGATTTGATGTTGAAAATTTTGAGTCAATTTTGTTGAGTTTGGCCGAGACTCATTGTTACTATATGTGCCTTGTTTGTGTGCTTTTTGCTTTACAAATTTGAGTTCATATTCATCATTAGATCATTGATGAATTCCTAGAGTTAGGATTCCATCGTGTTTAAGAGTTTTCAAATTTTACCTTCTAATTCAAATCTTAATTCAATCATTGTCATTTTAAGTGATATACCTATTTCTAGTGCATTATTTGTTTTGGATTCAAATTTTGGAAAATTGATTGCTGAAAAACAGAGAAAATACAGAGCATATTGAATCAAAAGAGCTAGGAAAAGAAAAGAAAACAAAATACAAGATAATCCAAAACATACTCCAAATTTTAGTGCACTAGAACTTGATTTTCACTTGAAATTGTTCATTCTAGTAGAATCGGTTTATGTTCATTTGAATTGTGAAATTTTTTATGTAAAAGGCAAATCATCTTATCTGGAAATACTATTTGAATTCAGAAAAACAAAAGATAAAAAAAAACATAGAAGAAAACAAAACAAAAGGAAAAAGCCGAGAAGAGAAAAAGTAAAAAAAATAAAAAATTCAAGTGATTGATCAATTAGTTTTGATTCAAATTCTTTGGTTGTTCCAATTCTTTTTGGTTTTCTTAATCCGTTCTAGAGCCTTTCTAAGACTTTCCTTTTGAATGCTAGCTTGTATTGGAGTCTTAAGTTTCAATTTTACTTCCTTGGCAATCTTTGACTCTTGTCATTATACATTTGATTCTTCATTTTGGTATAAGCTTTCCAAATTGTACTTTTGTTAGTTGTCTAAGTTTTCTTTGAAAATTTTCTGTTCTAGAAGTTGCATTAAATCCTTGCTAAAGAACCAAACATTGACTCAACAAGAGTAGGAGAGGAGTATTGCTAGGCCTAAGGCCAAAGGACTTAAAATTTGCCTAAACTAGTGATATAAACTCCTAAATTTTCCTTCACAAGAGTGATCAATCCTATCATCGTTGTGAGCAACCTACTTTCATGAAATTGTTTTGTTTCTTGCGTAGGTTCTAAGAGCATCAAAAGATCAATATTGGTGACAGATTGAAGCAATAAAATTAGTGCCGGAAAATTAGTTGCCAAATCCGTCACTAAAGTGGTCTCCAAATCCATCACAAAATTATGTTTTTAGACTAGTAATTTTTCTTGCATTTTCTTTGAATTCAATCAAACACTATTAGAAAGTTACTTTCTACGTCGTCAATTTTACATCGATTTTAATAAAAACGTTGTAGAAATCAAATGTAGTAATATTTACATCGATTTTTTTTAAAACTAATATAAATATTTAGTGTTCTACATAGATTATGAATAGAATCGATGTAATATTCAAAACACGGTAACATTTTAGTAAATAACTTTAAAATATAAAGAGACCTACATTAGTTTATTTAGGGACCGATGTAATATCTGAACCTCTTGTACATGCTACACCAAAACTCTTGAAATCTTTCACCCCCATTTTAGCTTCCAAGGTGAGGGTCATCGTCAGGGTCAGGCCCTTCCTTGCACATGAAACCTCATCAAGAAACGGTGACCCCAGCCCTTCCTTGCACACGAAACCTCATCAAGAAACGGCGACCCCATTTCGTGCATCTCCGTCCTCGACCAAGATTTCGAGTCTCCGCAAGACGAGGTTGCCGTTTATCTCAAAGACCCACTAACCAGGTCTTATAAAGTTCCCACCTTTGGGCTTTTCTCTTGATGAATTTTGGTTTTCACCATGTGGGGTTCTCAATGTTTCTGTTTCTTTTTTCATTTTTCCTTAGCCGGAATGAATGCTACCAGTTGGAGTCGTTCTTTAGGTAAGAAGATAACAACGTGGTCAGATATTCTGCAGAGAAGTTAGTCTCTTTGTTCCGGGGATCTTCAGTGGATGCAATGCCACCGTGTTTGCTTATGGGGCTACTGGAAGTGGGAAGACATATACTATTCAGGTGTGTGATCTTTCAGGAAACTTGTTCTTCAATTTGTTCTAGTCAGGGTTTTAAATTGTGGTTGGGGGGCTATTGCAAGGCAATTCCTGCATATGTGATTTGCATTGTCCATCTCCTAACCTGGTTACAGTAATTTTCTTTTTTTCATACATCTTTTTTTGTGTACAGTGGTCACACCAGGTTTGAAACTAACATCTCATGCATACTATCTCAATCTCCTTACAAAGTCAACTCCGGAGGTTCACATCTTTTTACCTAGATACGTGAATTAGTTTTTTTTTCTCAGTAAATTCTGAATTTTGAGTTACGACAATGAGGATTTAGGATTAGTATCATGAGGTTTTGCAATGTCATATATCCTGGTTATATTTTTTCGAACATTAGTCCAGATATATGAATTGGTTTTAAATTTGAGCAAAATCTAAATTTTTAGTTAAGAGAACGAGAATTTTGGATTAGGGTTTAAAACCAAGATCGTTTATGGGTTTTCTACAGGGATTTAAAAAGTGTATCCTCTCTTAGATTCTTTAAATTGGTGTTACCTATTTGTGAATTTGAATGCATAGCCTGTTTGGTTTTGTGCCACGTAAGACAACATGCATGTCTGATTTGCACGTCCTACGTATAAGCTATATAGTTCATTAGGTTCTGATTTTCATGTTTTTGATCCACGTTTGGAGCTTTTGACATAGAAACAAACACACATTCATAGTAAACGGGATGAGGAATAGCACCATTTTTTTACGTTTAATAGCATGGGTCATGGTTATATTTTTTTGAATACTAATTGAGCAGGAGGATTTAGAAAACTTATCCACTCTTGGATACACTTTGTTGTGTTGAGTACTTGAAATGAACCGATGCTTGGTGTTGCAGGGAACCGATGAACAACCTGGCTTGATGCCACTGGCAATGTCCATGATCCTTTCTACTTGCCAAAGCACTGGCAGGACAGCACATATTTCATACTATAAAGTCTACATGGACCGATGCTACGACCTCTTGTTGGTTGCAGGCTGCAGCAGCTATGTGTGTTGGAATGGGCAGCTTCTCTGACCCGTATGAAGCGCAGGGACTTTTTGATTAGTTATTTAGACATAAAAGTGATTTTGTAGTATGGAACGAGATATCGTTGTTTTGAGGTGTTTATATAGGCATGTGTATCATGAATGTGGTGAATGATGCATTATACACCATTATACTGAATTGGTACTAAGAGGGAAGAAAACTAATCACCTTCTTTCTCATCTTAGTTAAGTGAAGTATTATGGCATGAAACTCATTATTCCAAGCATATGTATCTGAAGGTGATGTTTGTTTGTGTGTTGATATATGTTGCATTTCATATAGGGGTGAGTTGTGAGTATTGCATGGAAAGAAATAAGATGGGTAGGAGATTGAAGGATAGGAACATAAGATAAAATCTGGTCTTTCTGAGTGAATTTGAGGTTGTTTTAGAGCTTAGGGAGTTGAAATACTGCAAGGAGTAGGATATTTGAGGTCAATAGGTGCTAAGGGTGAAATTTGGAAATTTTGAAAAATGGCTATATATAGGGACTAAGGACCGGAGGGTTTCATTTGTCAAACAAAAATAGTTCCTAGAGAGAGGAGTAGAGAGAAAAGCTCTGTCCGGAGGGAAGTTGAGGACATATTTGGGAAGCTTATCATGTTTTATGCATGATTAAGGCTGGATTGAGTGGAAAGGGTTTAGTTGGGTTTATTCATGATTTCCATGGATTTATGGTTAAAACTTGATTTTATCGTTTAATATGTTGTTTTTGGATAGTTTTTATGCTTTATAATGGTTTAAACTCGTGTAATTTGGATTGGGTTCATGTTAGGAAGGAATTTTTGAGGTTTTCAGGGGTTTCTAGTTGAACATGCGCCAGGCGTAGTTCTTGGCGCCAGGCGTGCATTCATCAGGGGCCACCATAGTCAAATCACACCGGGCGCAAGGTTAGTTGAGTCGAGCGCAATTTGAAGTGGGAAGTCTTTGGATGGAACACGTCGGGCGTGAGGGAACCACGCCTAGTGTGATAGCAGACGTGGGCCTTGTGTTTTGGTTACTGACATGGCGTCGGGCATGATCTGAGCATGCTGGGCGTGGAGACTTATTGGGAGTCTCTGTCTGGGGTTGTGTCAGGCGGAGGATAAGTGTGCCAGGCGTGAAGTCTCTGTTTGAGTTCGTGCCGGGCGGGATATTAATGCGTCGAGCGTGAGTATTTTGGTCTTTAAGTCTACATAAAATTTGTAGCCTTAGATGTTAGCTTTCCAATGGCGCTGAAATCACCCAAAAAAGAGGTCTAGAACTCCAGATATGGCTGGTTTAGTGAACAGGGGTCAAGTTGTCAATATTAGTTATATCTGTTGCGGTTTTTGTAAGTTTTGACAAAGTAGATGATGGAATTAGGACATTATGTCTTGATAAGAGTTGTAGGAAATCTTATTAGCTTTCATATGAGATAAAGATGAGCATGATAGGAGTAGTATAACTCTTGATACGTTGTTTATGTGAAGATTTCCATTTCACAAAGAGTGATTTGGTTAAGTTGATAGTTGTTTTGGGTGTTTAATTATTTATGTTGTTATATTGAGTAATTTGGCATGGTTATGGAAAAGTTTGTATGTAATTATGGAATATTCTATGTCTGTTTGGTTTAGCAAGCTAATAGGACTTAGAGGAGTAAGATTATGGTATGGATTGGGAGATCTCTTAGTGAGATCAAGATATAGCCTTTGGGAAAATATGTAATTTGGGAGTCCCATGGTGAGGATTCTAATATGGAACTTTTCCAAAGATTATATAATAAATCACTTCAGATGTTAGGTGGACTCTAAAGTACTCCTCTAAGTGTTCTATTTGCTACCGGTATGAGGGCAAGGTCGAGTCATACCAATGGATGAAGTGGCCAGGATCACCAGGGTTATGTGACGATGTAACCCAACTGTATATTTTCCATGAGAGGTTAGGTGTGTAACATGGGTAGGTGACATATTCACGAATTCAACACTTAGTTTGGATGTGTTGAGGTCAGCATTTGGTTTGTGTGGTAGGCTCATACCCAGACCCTTTTGTCCTAACAGTAGTACTGGACCTCTGAGTCTAAGTGGCACACCCGAGTAATTGCCTATTATTGTCTATACCTGGTTCTCTTCGAAGTTCCTAAGGATGCCCTATATCTAACCTGAGTTTTTTTTTAAAAAAAATTCAATCTACATCGGTTGTCAATAGAACAGATGTAGATTTGAGTACAAATTTACATCGGTTGTTAGTAGAACCAATGTAGATTTGTGCTGAAATCTACATCGATTTTGAAACTGATGTAGAAGTGCTTGTATTTCTAAGTCGCTCTATTCTACATCGGTTTTAGAATTGATGTAGATTACCTCGCAGAACCGATGTAGATAATACATCTTGTAATAGTGAAATTGTAATAGCTTGGAGGGATTATTAAGAAGCTGGTCAGGTATATCTAACTCCTTATAGATCACTCACGTGTAGATCTAGTGGAAGTGGCTTGAAAATTTCATATGATTTCAAGCTTCCACTTAGGGAAATCCGACTAGTTGCTTAATATTTACTCCTTTGATTTGTTTCAAATTTTTTGTTTACTTTAGTTTGTTAATTCGACTAGAATGTGTAGTTTTTAATTGTCTAGGTTTAGATTGAAATCCAAAAAAAAAAATTGTTGTAAAAATCATAAAAGCATTAAATTTTTTGTGAAAGCTTTGTGGAATTGAGATTACCATAAGGAGGTTTAGTGATTTCCACTTGAAAAGCTTGGTTATTAAGTGGCTCTTAGTATCTCACCTCCCTTGATAGTGAAACTTGTACACTTAGAACTCCAAGTGCTAGTCTTGTTCCCAGAAAAGACCAATTTTTTTCTTCTTCTTTTGCATAGCATATAAAAATCTCTTTACTTAACCATGAGTAATCCATCTCAAAGTGGTAGTGATTTAGAATCTCCTAAAAGTTTTTCTCAAATTGTTAAGGAGGTAGAATCACTAAAACTTTGGAGGAAACAAGAAGTACTTCTTAAAGAAAAAGAAAGAATTGAAAGAAAAGTACAACTTGTTGCTCTTGAGGAGGAAATACAAAAGGTTAAGCAACAAGAGGCTAAATTTTTGGAAAAGAAAAAAAAAAAAGTCATAAAAGTTCCCATGGCTCCACAAGCCAAGAGGATGTAGGAAGTTTGAATGTGGATGAATACTATCAACCTACTCCTAGGAGAATAATTAGAGAGCCAAAGGTTAGGGAATCACGAGTTGATCTCCCTCCTTTCCATGGTAACGATGATGTGGATGCCTACTTGGATTGGGAAATGAAAGTGAAGCAAATCTTCACTTGTCTCCAAGTAGGGGAAGAAAGAAAAGTTTCCTTGGCCACCTTAGCTTTTCAAGGATAAGCTATGTATTGGTGGACAGCCTTGGTTAGGGAAATGCGACTCCGTAATGATCTGCCTATAGAATATTGGAATGATTTGAGGAGTGCTATGAGAAGAAGGCACATACCTTCCTATTATAGTAGGGAGCTTATGGATAAGCTCCAAAGACTCCAACTAAAGAACATGAGTGTGGAAGAGTATAGGCAAAGAATGAAGTTGTATTTGATGAGGGCTAGAATAAGGGAGAAAGAAAGGTTGACCATTGCAAGATTTTTAAGTGGTCTTAATGTTGACATCAGGGATAGAGTTGAGTTACTCCCTTATAGGGACCTTAGATGAATTGGTCCAACTTTGTATAAGGGTGGAACAACAACATTTGAGAAAAAATTCTTTTAAGAAAGATAAATCTCACTCTAGTTCTTATGTCAAAAAAGATTACAAGAGGGAGGGTTAATTTTCTAAATATGACTCTTCTAAAAATTTTGGCAAAGGTCAAGAAAAAGAAAAAGAAAAAGAAAAAGAGAAAAATAAGAATGCTATCACTTCTAGTAATAAATCTAGTGATATCAAATGCTTTAAATGTCTTGGGAGAGGTCATATAGCTTCTCAATGTCCAAATAAGAAAATTATGATTTTAAGAGGACAAGACATTTATAGTAGTCATGATGAATATAGTTCTACTACTACAAGTGACAGTGAGTCTAGTGATGAAGATCATCAAGTTGAAAGAGCTTATCCTTATGATGGTCAATTGTTGATGATTAGAAGGCTTCTAGGAAGCCAACCTAATGAATCCCATATCTCACAAAGAGAGAACATTTTCTATACAAGGTGTAAAATTTCAGATAAAGCTTGTTCTCTTATTGTGGATAGTGGTTCATGTTGTGATTGTTGTAGCACAAGGTTGGTTGAGAAGCTAGATCTCACTCCAGTTCCTTATCCCAAACCTTATCAATTTCATTGGTTAAATGAAGATGGGGAAATTATTGTGGATAAACAAGTGAAAGTCAGGTTTTCCATTGGCAAATATGAAGATCATGTGGTATGTAGGGCTATTAACAACATCACAATCAAGTACAGACACCCAATTCCTAGACTTGATGATATGCTTGAAGAATTACATGGTGCTAACATATTTTCCAAAATAGATCTTAAAAGTGGATATCACCAAATAAGGATCAAAGAGGGTGATAAGTGGAAAAATGCTTTTAAAACTAAATTTGGATTATATGAGTGGCTTGTTATGCCTTTTGGCTTAACCAATGCACCAAGTACATTTATGAGGCTTATGAATCATGTCTTGGGAGAATGTATAGGAAAATTTGTGGTAGTTTATTTTGATGACATCTTAATCTATAGTAGGTCTCAAGACGATCATGTAGGACATCTTAGAGAAGTTTTGATGATTTGATGGAGGAGGCCCATGGGCCAAAGGCTTAACTACTAGGGCTATGGCTAAGATGATACAGGAAGAATGGGTCCATACTTAAGAGAAGCCCATTATACTTTTCAGTTGGGCTTTGACTCAAGCCCAAGTAGATTAGGTTGTAGAATAGGTTTGGGCTTTTGGGCTTGTATTGCATTTTAGGCCTTGTATTTCGGCCACCTAGATTAGGTTTTTCATTTCATGGCAATGTGAATTTAGGGTTAATCTAGGTTAACATGTGCATGTCATTTGCATGTAAT